TTGTGTGTGTGTGTGTGTGTGTGTGTGTATTGTTACAGACATACTTGCTGACAGGTATTTTGAAATAAATTACCAAAATAATTGAAACTGGCATGATTATATTATGTTATTTTGATAAATATAATATGCAGAATTGATCAGAATTTTAAAATGTGTGTGTAGAATTTTTAATTTTCTCGCACAGAATTTTTAATTTTTTGAACCAGAATTCCCCCAGGAGTAATGGTGCTACCTCTGCCTCAACTGGCATTACTTTTGTATGAGAAAAGTTTATTCTCTTAAATAAAATGCATTCCCTTTGGATCCATTTTTCAGTCAAACAGCTCCTGGCACATTACTCCGGGGGGAATTCTGTGACAATGCACATAATTCATGTTGGCGCAGAATTTTTTTCCCCCAGCAGAAAATGCAATCTGCCCAAGACATGCTGCAGTTCCACCTTTGACCCACCAGAGGGCGCTGTGGTGCCAGAACAGCCAGCTGACTGGCATTTGTCACAGCAAATGCTGGCCCATGGAGCCAGGTTAGGAGGCAGAGTGGGGTACATGGGGCTGGCGTGGGGGGGGGGGAGGGTGTCACAGACTGGGGTTCAAAAGTGCTAGTGGGGAGATAGACTGGGGCTCAGGAGCTAGTGGGGTGACAGCATTGAGCCAGGCGCTGAATGGGAAGGAGGATCCAGGGCCACATGGGGAAGGGGCATAGGGGAGTGCAGGGCTACATGGGGACAGGAGCAGATGTGCCTGACTGAATGGGAGAGGCTTACGGTCAGCCAGAATCTGCATGGGGGAGACTCCTCAAGTCCCTAACAATCCCTACCCCACCCAAAGGAAACTGTTCCATATTTCTCCTACCCATGCCCAACAATCTTTCAGGTTCACTCCCAGGCTTTTCCCCTCTCCCTCAGCTCCTCCATTACCACTGACTACCCCAAGCCTTTACACTGCTTCTGATGGGTGTGGGAAATACATTTCTGTAGTGTGGTTTAAATGAATTACTCAAAGTTCTGTATTAATATGGATAGTAAGGAATCTGTTTTTAAAAAAATATTTCCTGAATCATTTTTGTCATCTGTATTGTTACAGACATACTTGCTGACAGGTATTTTGAAATAAATTACCAAAATAATTGAAATTGGCATGATTATATTGTGTTATTTTCACAAAATATGCAGAATTGCTCAGAATTTTAAAATACTGTGCACAGAATTATTAATTTTGTGGTGCAGAATTCCCCACAGGAGTAGCACATTAAATCAGCAATGAGCAAGTATGTTTAAGACAAAAGAGGTTAGAAGGGAATAGGTAGAATACAAATTTTGGGGGTTGAGAACAAGGGGAAAGACTATAAATGCTGGAAGAGAGTGCACCCTTTGTTAGCATGGCATCTCTCAAATTATAAAGGGAAGAAAAATAATATTCCTTCACCCAGAAGTCCTCAGAGACTGGTCGTTTCAGGGCTCCCCCATCACATATGCATGGTTTGAGAGCAGCAGAAGCATAGGAACACCTCAACATGGGAGAAAAAGCAACCTGATCTATGGGCATGGTACCCGTACAAGATTTCTGCTCAAGCAGCTCTTGTCTGCCATATTAAAATGTTCTGTTACATACAGAAGTAACGGCACAGGTATTCTGAAATACTCCTGGTTGAGAATTAATTAAAGGCCTTTTCTTCTTATCCCTTCCCTCACCCAACTACATACCCAGGAAGTGCATAAAGTTCAAGTTGCACAAAAACTTAAAGGATTTTTCTATTCCTACCTCTAAAAAAGTGTCATCACTAGTTTGTCCATGGTTTATTGGAAAAGGTTTGCGCCCATCTGTCGGAATACAAGCAATTATACAAAATATAATTGTAAAATGAAAACTGAAAAGCTTGTCATTTTCTCAGACAAGAACATAAACCCAAAGCATTAAATAATTCCCTCCTCATATGAGAGCATGCCACCAAGATCAGCTCAGTTTTTCATAAACTTAGCATACTAATTGTAATTCCCAACTATTCAGCACTTTCCCCTCTACACCAAGTATTTCAATAGGATTACAGTATTACAAAGAATTAGTGACAGTAAATAATAAAACACTTTTTAGTTGAACATAGATTTAAAAAAAAAAAAAAAAAAAACTTCAGGCCAAGAGGAAACCTTGAGTTCTAATTATTTTGTCACTGGTAATGTTTAAGTTATTTGGGTTTTCCAAATAGCTCTTTGAAAAAAATGTAGTTATTTAGTGCATTTAGCAAAAAAAAAAAGTTACTTACCTGTACAGAAACTGTTGTTCTTTGAGATGTGTTGTGCACATATACATTCCACTTCAGGTGTATATGCGCACAATGCACCCCTGCTCTCTTCATGTGCTGAGTCAAGGACATAAAGGGGGCATGTTTACTGCCTCTCTCTCCATTCCTTCACACTTCTGTATATATAATGTCTGAAATAACAGGGAAGTGGAAGGATCATGGAATGTATATGTTACTATACATCTCTAAGAACAACAGTTACTATACAGGTAAGTAACCGTTTATTCTCCTTCAACTGATTGTGCATATATACATTCCACTTAGATGACTCATCAGCAGTTCCCTTACAGGTGACGAGACATTGGATCACCTGAAACAGACTGTAGCACCACCGAAGGCTTGAGTGATGGTAATGTCTGGAAAAAGGTATTGCTGCTTTGCAGATATCCTTTACAGGGATGTTGCTCAGAAAAGCTGATGAAGTAGATTGAGCTTTAGTAAAGCGAGCTATTGTCCTGAGAGAAGGAGGAGGAGATCTTAGGAAAGCTGTAGCACAGCTTAATGCAGTCAGAAACCCAGTGAAAAATTTGTTGAGCTGTTACTGTTTGGCCCCTAACTCTCCCATTGTAGGCTACAATAAGCCTGGGAGAGAGGCTCCGAAGGACTTAGTGCAATCCAGACACAATGCTGGAGCTCTGTGAATATCTAAGGTGTGGAGCTTCTCTTCCGCTTCGGAAGAGCGAGATTTTTGGAAATAGCACCACAAGACGAATGGTTTGATTCAGGTTGAAAGCTGAAACTGCTTTTGACAAACTTAGAGTATGGCTTATGAGAAACTGTGTCTTTATGAAAAACTGTGAAAGGAAGAGCAGCTAAGAGAGCATAAAGTTCCCAAACTCTCCTTTGCAGAGGTGATTGCTATTAGGAATGCCATCTTCATAGACACTAGGGATGGTGAGGCTGTCATCCTAGGTTCAAAGGAAGAACCCATTAGTCTAGAGAAGACTGGGTTAAGATTCCATAAAGGTACTGGATCAGACACATGTGGGTAGACATTGGACAAAACTTTTAAAGAAAATCTGGAAGATGGAAAACTCGTCCACTGGTTGATGCAGAGCAGATACTGCTGCCAAGTGGACTCTCACAGAACTAACTGATAGGCCATAGGCCAGAAGATTTCAAGTGTATCAAATAGTCCAATACATGTGAGATCTCTCTGTAACGGGTCAGTAAATGTTGAAATTGTGCCCAAATAGAGCCCCTTCTCCACTTCCGTATGTACGTCACTCTAGTGGATTCTTTTCTTCTGCTCATCTAGACAACCTGAAGATCTCGGGAGCACAATCTCTTGTGAGCATTCAACCAAAGTGCATCCATAACATGAAGTGAAAAGATTGGATGCAGAGACTTGCCCTGGTTCTGAGACTGGGGGCAAAGTTATCAGTGATCTGACTGAAAATTGATGTAGATCAATGAACCAGTACTGCCTCGGTGAGACTGGTTCCAGTAGGATTAACCCTGCTTTGTCTCTTTTCAGTTTCCTAAGCACCTTGGGAACAAGAGGAACTGCTTGGAATGCATATAGGAAATGACTTGATCAGGGGAGGAGGACAGCATCTGTGATGGAATATGGGCTGCAGCCTGTCCTGGACAAAATATCCTGCACTTGTGGTCCAGGTTGGTTGCGAAAAAGTCTATTATTGGGAACTCCCGCTCGTAGAAGATCTGGAGGAGAACGTCCTTTCTGATTGACTACTTGTGTTGATCTATGAAAATCCTGCTGAAGGAATCTGCAATTGTGTTTCTCATTCCTAGAAAATGGAATAACCTCAGGGAGACATTTCAGATACATAAATTCCATAGGTGGATGGCTTTCTGGCATAGCTGAGATGACCTTGCACCTCCCTGCCTGTTCAGATAAAACATGGCAGCTGCGTTGTCTGTAAAACTTGTATCACCTGGTTCTTGGTGGTGGACATAAACATCTTGCAGGCTTGATAAATAGCTCTGAGGTCCACATATTTATGTGGAATGAGACCTACTGGAGCGTACAGAGAGCTTGTGCTCAAAGTTGACTAAGATGGGTTCCCCAGCTCTGGTAGACACGTCTGTAGCCAGAGTCAGTTATTTATGAGTACAGAAAGGGAACCCCTCTGCACAGTGGACTGGTGATGGACCTGCAGACCTCGACTGACCTCATGCAGGTTTGCAAGTCCGCATGTTCAGGGAATGTTGGTCAGGCAATAAACTGCTTTATTGTAGGTGGTATAGGGACTGGGGTTTGCCAGAGGGTGTTCAGCTGGGCTTCATTAATGAGAAGGGCAACTCTTTCCTAAAAGACTTTAAAGCCCTCTGGAGAAGGGAATATCTGACTCCAGGGTGATGGCTTTGTCCAAGGAAGAGGATGAAATATGGGGACAGGAGGGCACATCTAGGGGTTCCTCCATAGGATCCAGTACAGCCAACCGAGGGATGGCGGAAAGAGCCTCTCTAGAGGTTTCCTGCATGGAGACTGAGATCTCCTGTTGGACTGTAACTCCAATGGAGGTCTAGACTCCTTTGGAGCAGGCAAAGACCTGTAGAGTCATGGAGGATACAGTACAGGAGCCTCTTTATAAGAGTACCAGTCCTGTTTCTTCTGCCTCATGTCCCTGGACAAGGTCTATGAAGTGAATGAAAAGACTCTGATGGGAATACAGGCCTCTCAGGCTCAGAGTCTAATGAGGAGATGTAGGACTCATCTGGAAAGGGAGGAGCATTCCCCTGTGAGGTCTTGGGGGGGGGGGAGAGGGGGAACATTGATATCAGGGAGACCATCTGGTCAGAAAAAGCTGAACGACGAGGTGATTGGAATGCCAAAGTCATAATTGGTGCCAGCGGTTGGCATAAGGTACTGTAGAGTACGTTGGCAGAATACCACACATCAACAGTGCTGACAGTGACCAAATCCAGGTTCAGCAACGGAGAGTCAGGTAACGGGACACAAAGGAGATCCCTTATGGAAAGGTAGGCTTATGGAGTTGAAAACACCAAAACAGCCAGGTGCTCTTCCAGTGGAGCCAAAGGACACAGCAAAGATGTAGGCATCAGTTTCAGAACCCCAGAGGAGCCAGAGTTGACAGTGCCACCTCAGATGGAGCCAATGAGCAGCTGTGCTTATTCAAAGGCCTCAACTCAGCACCAGAGGACTTAAGCTTTGTTGTGCAGAGAAGATCAAAACATTGATTGTTTGTCCAAGTCAGAATGCTTGGATTGCTTTAAAGAGGCCATCAGGAAGGAGGAAAAGAGATGCTTCTCTCCAAATTTATGCTTCAAAGTTGAAGCTGCTGGACAAGCATTTCTCATAGTTTCAGAGTCCATCATCTTGTGATGGGGGCCTGGTTCTGAGGAGGGACACAGTTTCCTTCATGAGGTGAAATTTGAGGCAGAAATTCCTGGTTTTTAGTCCTAACAGAGGACTAAAAAAGGGAAGGAGGTACAAATAAGGTATCTATCCCTCACATGCCTCTCTCCAAGAGGAATTAAGAGCTTCTGTGCCTATCCATGACAGGGATAATGGCCCTGCATGTGGCACACTGCTTAAAGGTTAGTGATTTTTAGCCCCAGACTACCTAAAATTATTACTAACTATACTAAGTATTCTAAGGCGAACTATATGAACGATATGAACTAAAGATTTAAAGCTGGAGAACCAAAGCAAAAACTATGAGGAGCTCCAGTTCTCACCATGGGCAGTGAGAAGGAGTTGAGAGGGAGGTGGCAGACACATTCCTTTTATGTTCTCGGCTCAGTGTAAGAGGAGAGCAGGCATAATAAATAAAAATAATAATAATAATTAATAATTAATGGAGATATCCCATCTCCTAGAACTGGAAGGGACCTTGAAAGGTCATAGAGTCCAGCCCCCTGCCTTCACTAGCAGGACCAAGTACTGATTTTGCCCTAGATCCCCAAGTGGCCCCCTCAAGGATTGAACTCACAACCCTGGGTTTAGCAGGCCAATACTCAAACCACTGAGCTATCCCTCCCCCCAACCACCTAGTGGTACTGCTGGTAAAAGTCTCCACTAGGTGCACATACACTTGAAGTGGAATGAATATGTGCACAGTCATTTCAAAGGAGAATGCAAATTTATAATCTGACAAGTGAAACTAGAGTTTCTGGGGTGAGCACTAAAAAGGGAACTCCAAACCCACCAATTCTGAAGGGGTTAAAGGTCAAGTAATTAATATGTAACTGAAGTATTACACTCAATTAAGAGCAGGATATATAAGACACAGAAATATAGTAAAGTTAATACTGATCATTTAATGTAGGCATGATTCACAATACTATACCAGAAGAAATGGGCTACAAAAGTTTTAAATTTTTTCCTTTAACAGTTTTGTGCAGAACTGGGAAAATTCTGATTTATTTTTTATGAAAGAATGCGTGGCTCAGTTTGTATTGTTACCTAGCAGGGATGAAAGGAACTTTCTTTCTCGTCCAGTGTAGAAGATGCAACATATGAGACCTTGAAAGTGGAGTAGTTTCAAAGAGTTTTATATCTACAAAATGGTATGTGTATCTCTGTGAACTAGGGATTGTATTCTAGTTCAATAGGGGTGGGCTACAGAACTTCCTGCAGGAACTAAAATCCCTGGGTGAGAATTACCGCAAACCCTGAGACAGATAGACAACTGTGTATATTGTACCATTGTATACACTGGTTTTGAGTGGGCCTAAGAGCAAGAAAACCAAGAAGGAAAAATGATAGAGTCATCCTGAACTTACTCAGAATAACAGTCACTTGATCCATGAACTGACAGACTTTAACCAAGAGGGCAAAACCCTGCTGGAAGGGTTTGAAGGACTATGAAACCTCCTAGGGGCTCCATGTGGAAGATGGGTGACATGGTAAGCTTAGCATGCATACAGACCATTTATTGTTTTATGATAGGACAACAGCATTACAAAGAAAACCTAAGTAAATGTACTGTGCTTTGTGAAACCACTGGTAAATATTATCATGGCTCCTGGAAGAGAGGAGATCTGCAGGCGCTGGATTAAAGTCAGGCCTGCTGGGATAAGCACAGTGAACTGCTGGGGACTATAATCTAAAACTCTGATCCTGAGGCAGAAGAACACGGGTCCCCACCCACAGTGAGAGGTGACAGCTAAAGGGTGCCCTTGAGGAGACCCTGGAGGGGACAGAGGTACAGTTAACCTGCAATTGTGATGTGTAACAGTGCCCAATAAGTGTGGTATTTCTCAACAAATATTTTCATTTGTTGCTTACTATGCAAATATTTCAAGCTATTTATGAAAAACTTTGAATGTCAAAACATGTGTTAAAGCATGAAATTCTTCTCCACCCGCAGCAGTGGCCTACTGAGCTTGCCAGGCCAAATTCTCTTTAGTTCTCAAATAATTTTTTAAAAGTCTGCCATAATTTCCTTGAACTTGGCAGTACTTCTAACCTATAATTAACCTAAAAAACCTAAGTAGGCTCTTATGAAATACAATATGTTAAAGCATTTTTGATCTTTACTTTAATGACTAACCTCTTGTACATAGCAGAAATGACTGAAGCTGCAACTTTAAGATAAAATCCTCAGCACATTCCAGAAAACAGAATTGAATGTCACTGTATTTCGCAAGCTGTGTTTTTGACTGAATTCTTACATGCATTTTGGCACACAAGCATTTGAATTTACTATGAATAGCATGTTTTTGATGGCAGTAGTGTGAGCATTTATGTTCATGTGGCACTCCATAGCTTTCTGCCTGCCAGGGTCCAAATATTCACCACTGTGGCTAAAGCTGATGAATCAGCCAGAATTATCTGAACAGATTTATAGGAATCACAATTATTCCAGGTTTTAGAAACTTCCATATGTTAGTTGAACAAGAGAAGAGTTACAGATTATTATAAATTTAGAGAAATAAGAAAAAGGGAAAATACATCTTTAATCTCTTATGGTGGTACAGGAAAAGGTTATTGTAAAGATGTTATTTATGTATTTGTAAAGGAAGTGGTGTTAGCATTCTATTGTGTAACTGTACCATCAACATCTTACACATATTTTTAATTCAAGCATACCTTAAAGTTCATCACCTCCTACTTAGTTATTCTTAGGGCGTGTACAATATGCAAAGCTGATAATCATATGCTCTGCACTGTTTTTAAACTCATGTAAATGACACAATAAAATATAAAAGCAACATGGACACAGTGACAAAACTTCAGAGAGGAGAGTTTAAAACAATGGGCGGTTCATTATTTTAAAAATCATATTTTGAAATTTAAAGTCAAAAGTTATCTGTGCTGCATCGTACAGCTTTTACCCCACTATTTAGTGTAAGTCACTAGCATCTAAAATATAAGCTCATAAAACACACTTTATGGAGAACAATGTACATCATTCATGAGGTGCAGCTGACGCTAAGGATTCTTAAGTTCACCTTCATATTGATTCAGAACGTGCCCTTTATACTACATTTGCCTCCAAACTATTAAAAATGTGTGAGATCCTTGCTTCATTAGGAATATGTTTTAAAAAAGTTAAGTAGTCAGATGAAATATGGCAAGCATACTCTCACTATACTATATTGGAGTATTATACTGGGAAGAGGTCTGTGTGACTTGAAATTTTTATCCTAACCTATTTAAAACTGCTTCAACTAGTTTTCAGAAGTGTCTACAGCAAAGTCTGGTTGCCCAGCAACATGCTTTAGACTCAGAGCATTATAGAATATCTGAGCAGAATTTAGTGCTGCTCAACCTGCACAGAAACAAATAGTCAAAAATAATTCAGATGCAGAAACTAATGCTCAGATGCAAATGAAGTATTACCTATTTAATATGAAGCAAACTTTTTAAAATCACCCTGCGATGAATGAATTACAGATCATTAATATCTATTGGTATTAGGGTTACCATATGTCCTCTTTTTCCCGGACATGTCCGGCTTTTCGGCAGTCAACCCCCCGTCCGGGGGGAATTGCCAAAAAGCCAAACATGTCCGGGAAAATGGCGGCTCTGCTCCTCCCCGA